TGCCAACTGAGCCTCCTCCAACATTTCTGCACTGGAAGAGCGGATTGATCATTATTTGTTGCATCCTGACAACCTTCCCATACATGATTATAGGTGAGCTTTTGGCTATCTGAATTGAGGTGGCTAGGCCATTGGAAATATGGATTGGAGAGCTTTGTTTGTCCAAAAGCACCCTAAACATGAAAACCAATTGTATATGCCAGAGTTGTATGGTCTTGCAACTGAAATCAAATCTAGCTGTTACAGACTAATGGGACTGACCTTATCTGGGATTATCTTTCTGTTTCATGTGCAGAAAGCTAAGAACTGCTCTCCTGGTTGATAATATATCTCTTCATGTGCATGTTTGTCTGCTTCACTGTATCCTTCATGTGTGAAAATGTACTAAGTTGTTACCATTAGCACATGTTCACTGAATGCTGGCAGTACCAGCTGGAAGTACTTTTCATTGTGACATCCTTTTAGTGTGTATCATTATGGCTGAGTTCAAAATGTGAGGGAAGCAATATATTCTCTGTTTTAAATGTATGGGGCTGAAACATAGTCTCTGAGATCAGAATAATCTACATTTTCAATGAAAAATTACAATAACAAACTTTGTGCTAAAGCTCATTTCCTGCCAAAGGAATGAGCATTCAGCATTCAGCTCAGCATTTCTCTCCCTCAAGCAGTGTTATTGTCATGGTCTTTGTTTCCCAGCATGTATTTGTGACACTACTGCCAATGCTAACACATACACTGTGCCTGTTTGGATTGTTAGCCTTGATTCTGTGTGAGCAGGTACTGTCAAGAGTATGTGGAGCCAGCGACCGACTTCACTGAGCTGCTGGCAGTTGAGCGGAGCCCTGTCTCCACCACCCTACAGGTAGGCCAGCTCTCTCTCAGGTGCATTTAGCTCTGAAGTTTGCAAGAACACTGGAGCTCTTGTTTGCTCTGTGGCAGTTGGTGCTTACAGATGATTTGTGTCAACCAGTGTGACAGCTTAGTAGAGGATGTGACCCTGGAACTGCACAAGTGGATGGTGACCAAAGAAACAGGGTGGGGTCCAGGCACTCATTGAGGGTTGGTAACATTGCCCTGGTCCGCGCAGGGGACCGTGACCCGACCACAGGCGAGATCCGCGCGTTCACTGAGGTGCCCGTGGACCCCGCCGAGCTGGGCCGCACGGCGCGCAACTCGTTCTCACTGCGACGTGCGCCGGGCCCGGCCGAACAGGACGTGCGGGGCGACGTGGCCAATTTCCCATTCTGGCCGGGTGGCATGGCGCCGCCGCCGCCGGCCGAGCCCGAGCTGGAAGAGCTCGACCCCAGCGGTGAGACGGAACTGCCGCAGCGGCGCCGGTGGTCCTCACTGGCTCTCGCACGGCCGTTGCTCACAATGGTTGTCGGAGTGATGATCTCCATCACACTTCACAGGGAGAGAGTACAACAGCTGATCCCTCAAATGCTGCATTCTGCCGGTTGCGTGAAAACAGCTTTAAGACTGGTTTGAGTCAGTTGAGATTGCACTACTCCCATCTCAAGAGCTCTCAGATCATGTAGCCATCGGGCTGCGGTGTGGCAGACCGGACTTAGACCACAGCTTTTGCTGGCTGCCTGCGCTTAACTGACGGGACTGGCGGCGCCTGACTGCCGGCACTGCCGGCACTTGACTGACAGCACCGCCGGCGCCTGACTGACAGCGCTGCCGACGCCTGACTGCCGGCACTGCCGGCGTCTGACTGACGGCACTGCCGGCACCTGACTGACGGCGCTGCCGGCGCCTGACTGACAGCGTTGCCGACGCCTGGCTGACAGTGCTTCCGACGCCTGACTGATAGCGCTGCCGATGCCTGACTGACAGCACTGCCGGCGCCTGACTGACAGCGCTGCCGACGCCTGACTGCCAGCACTGCCGGCGCCTGGCTGACGGCACTGCCGACGCCTGACTGACAGCGCTGCCGACGCCTGACTGACAGCACTGCCGGCGCCTGCCTGACGGCACTGCCGGCGCCTGACTGACAGCGCTGCCGACGCCTGACTGCCGGCACTGCCGGCGCCTGACTGACGGCACTGCCGGCGCCTGACTGACAGCGCTGCCGGCGCCTGACTGACGG